GAGACTACTCCCTTAAAAAAAAAAGAAGGAAAACATTAATACTAAAACTTTTCCTATAAAATAAAATGCAGATGTAAAAATTAGACTTCAAAAACAAAAAGAAAGACAAAAACAAGTTCCAAAAGGCCAAAGATCCAAATAGCTATTACAAAAAGTAAGCTAGTAAGGAGGGGGGTTGTTAAAGTAAGAAATAGCCCAGCTTAAAAAAAGTAAAAAGAGCACACTGCACCTAATTTAGTTATCCAAGGCTTTTGTTAAAATTTATAACTCTCTTCTCCAGAGTCTTATCGTCTTTTTTTCTGTAAACTTCAACACCAGACTGCAGCTACTGATAGAAACCCAGAAGAGCACCTGCAATAATACTCTTTCATGCTCTTCCCTCTATCTTATCAAACAGGCTCAAAGTCCTTGAAAAAAAGTCTCAGATCTTTCCCAGCTTTGTCTGGTCAAGAGAAAAAAAAAGAGATAGAATATTTCCAAGCCTCTAGTTGGCAGTGTTACAAAGTTTCTTCTGCTTTCACTTTCCCCCTCCTTTTCCAAACAAGATATAATAAAAATTAATTAAAAAGGGAAAAGGGTATTAAAAAAGATGACTAGAAGGGAGTCTCTAGCCTAAAATATTATAAAGTCAAAAAGGAGAGAAAGAATAGATTAAAAAAAAGCCAGTCCAATTTCAAAATATAAAATCATATATAAAAAGTCCAGTAAAAAATAAATAAAAATCACCTTGACTTCCTGTTTAAAATCGCCGCTTAATCACTTCTGTCTAAAATTTTACAGATTCTTTTTTTTCCTTAGGGTGTCCTTTCAAATCTTAAAGTAAAGAAAAAATTCTCACCAAACCAGCACACTTTCTCTTTCCGTTCTCTTTCATTTCGGAGCTGTCCCAACTTCAGCAGCTTTAATGGCTGCCTCTTTGCCGCTGACAAAAAGAGCTTCTCCTGGATCTACCAGGGACTTTGCAGCATCCCTGGGATCGACAGGCTGCGCTCTTTACATTCACCGTCTCTTTGGGACGGTTTAGATCCATTTGGACCGTCCAGGAGCAAAGATATCGGCAGTGATCTCAGACCTCCAAGATCTCATGCCGTATTGTCGCAACGCCAGCCCCTTCCTCTGTACTGCTTAATTTTTCTGTCTGTTCCATTCTGTGATTAGCAGAGATCAGACAGAATAGGACAGATCCAAGCAGAAAGACTGCCTGATGAATTGAAATAGAAGGTGTATTTTTCCATGTAATTCCAAAAAAGCACTTCTGACTTCATGGGAAGGAGGATGTAGCACCTATCCAAAACACTTTAAAGCAGTTGTATGTTATCAAAAAGGAGAAAGATACCAAGAAAAAAATGGTTGCTTTAGAAAACTGAAGACAGATACTGCATTTGTATCATCTATATACTCAAGAATACCTGAAGCACCATTTTGGAATTGAACTCAAAATGCTTCAGAGCTACAATGAAAAGCACAGAAAACAAATCCAAGACTAAAGATCTATTAATCAGGCAACAGGAACAGAACTTGGATAGCTCCATGTGAAACCCAGTGGATGATGTCCCCCTGCTGATTGGAATGATGTTTTGTTCTGTTTGCTGTTTTTGAAGTTTTGTATGCTAGGGAAATAGAATTCTGCTGAATGTGGTTCCTTAGTTACTTTCCGACTCCCATCCATTGTTTTGTAAATGATTAATAATCTGGCTTTTCCTATCTGAAACCCATTTTATTCTATTCCTCATAACAGGAAATTCAGTAAGTAAATCTGAGGTTTAGATTTGAGTTTTCATCAGATCTATCTCTGCTGAAGTGTCAAATTTATTAAAATATTTTCTGCATAAATTCTCTTGCACAGGATTTTTGTTGCTGATTACCTCACACCAAGCTTTAAATAATGGTAATTCTTCATAAATCCTAGCAATTAATTTAATGCTTTTGGAGCTCTCAACCCAACCCATATGTTATGTCCTTATAGTCCTTTCAATAGGCTGTTGTGAGGCTACATTCATCCATCTTATACAGGAAGGATAATTCTGGAGAAAAAGCTTTATATTATCAAAACAATATGATAGTTCCTTTCCTGGGACTTTTCCTATGACAGCTTAATAGTGGAAATTCCAGTCCCTATTGCTGTTGTAAGTCAAAGACTTATGTAATAGGTATGTTATCTGTTGCAATTAATCCCACATGCATGATTCAAAAGAGATATTTATGGATGACAATTATAGTTTTGCATGTATGGAGCTATTTTCAGTCTTCTATTTCTGAAATAATGTTAGTGGGGAGGGAAGGGAAGGGGCACCGGTATTTTGGTAGGTGATTTCTCTTTGGTAGATTATTATTGTTTCTTAAATTGCCTATAGGAACCATCTTGGTATGGCCAGTATTTTGGGGATTGTTGGCTATGCTGACCTTGCATGTTAATGTAGTTTTTGATAATAATTTAGTGCTGCCATTTTTCACTTCATTAATGAAAACAACCACTGAGAGTTTTGAAGGAACCTAGTGTATTTTAAAAATCAGTTCACTATAATCATGAATATTGTAAAATTAAAAAAACAGCAGCAAAAAGGCAAGATTTTTTAAAAATAAACTAAAGGATCGTTTTGGCAAAGAATGATGCATAAAGATAAATTCAGTATGATCCCAAAATTTGAAGTCAGTCCCCTAATATGGATAGTATTCAGGTTTATCCAGCTTTCATTGGTGGTCAGTCTGTAAAAACAAATATGCAAAATTCATTCCGTTGAACTCATTGAGATATATGACACAATTTGTTCTGATTTGAGCATAGTTTTTTAATTATTCTTTCTCCTATTTTAACAAAAATCAATTCTACATCCTCAGTCTTACAAATTAAGCAATAAGCTAGAAGAATTGCCCAGATCAATAGAATGTGTTTATTTGGATTTGTTTCTATACTGCTTATTTCAGTAATTTATTTATTTATGTATTTGTACTGTTTAATTAATTGAATATTGTTAAGTTGAGGTCATATTTTGTTGAGATTTTGGCTCATGGTGCCACTTTTTGCAAAGTTAATGGTGGACCTGCAAGAAAGATGTGCAGAGTCAAGGATTTTTCTGTATACTTGTATACAGAGGCTTCTGTATGCTATACTTCTTTCAAACCACCGATCAGTTTCTGAGATATAGAGATGACTCAGGTTATGGAAATGAGCATGCCTAAGCTTTCAATTTTCAGAGCTCAGCTTGGTTTACCAGTGAGCTACGATAGTGAAATAGGAGGGAAGATTATTATGTGCATCACCGTAAGTTATTTATAAAAGTACTAAAGCCAGGATATAAATAAATACTAAGTAAATTAAAAATAAAATAAATCTGAGGGAAAATCTCAGGCCAGTCAAACACAGGTAACAGCATATTATTGGGCCCCCTTTGTGGCAATGATAGTGTTGAAAGAACAGTCGTTCTTCTATAGCACGGTTTTGTTCATAAGTTACAGGTTTCCTTGGAGCTAATTTCAGCTTGTTCCCACCCAGTGACATCAGAATTTTTGAAAGCTGCTGTGATATAATCGTTTAAGACTTTGAGGATAAATTTGTTTATATCTGTTTCAGCATTAAGAGTTCATTAGTTTGCAGATCAGACCCTGTCAGAAATAATTTCTATCTTTTGTTATGACATGAATTTCAGTTATTGCAAAAAAAATAAAAAATATTGAAAAGATCTAGTCCAGGGGTGTCAAACTGGCAGCCCATGGGGCAGATGCATCACATGCAGTCCATGCCCACCCTGGCTCCGTAAAGGCAAAAAAAAATTGCGATACCTCACACGACACGATCGAGTTTGACACCCGTGATCTAGCCTATCGTTGGATTAGTTCAACTTCATCCTTCAGTCTGCTTCATGGCTTCTTCCATATCATACAGTCCAAGAGGAGATAAGATTCTTGCTTTGAAGGAAGTGACTGATGTAGTGAAGATGTTCATTTGGGTTCTTAGGTTGGCTGACTGAAGTTAGACAATTCAATTTTCCTCTTCGCTTCATATAGATATTTTTGAGCCATTGGAATTAATTTAATTATTTATTCATCAAATTTACATAACTGCCCATTTTGCAAAAGTAATCCTGAAGTGTACAATAAAATAAAGAGTTAGAGACAAATATAAATGACCATTAAACACAATTAAACAGTAACATAAATAGGACCACAGGAGAGTGGTACAACATACCGTACACAATATGACCATCTTATGGGCCCTATATTTCCATGGGGTTCCCAAGGCTGGAAAATCTATTTTTAAGAGATTTTTAGAAAGCTAATAGAGTCAGATTTTGTCATAATATGTTTGGTTATTTTGAAAGAGCTTCTTAGACTTTTGGTTGGTGACAATTCTAATTTTCTTGACAGAATCATTAAATTTCTACGTTATTTCTTGTTAATGACATTCAGTTTAGCAAGCTTGTATTCTATTGGTCCTGAAACATTTATAGTTTAAAACTGAAAGTCAGTTTATCAACTGTTTTTTGTGTCGGACTGTTTTAAAGAGTTCAGGACTATTCCATTTTTATCTGAAGTAAACCACAAAAGAACATATTGGAAGTTGAGACCATATCTGGGACTGTCAGAAATGTTTGTTCTTTGATGTCAAAATCCACCCCTCCAGACATAGAAATGGAAGGTTGATATTCAGTTCTCTCCATACTTGCTTTTTTTTCAATATTATTTTTTTTAAAAAAAAAAACACTTAAAAAAAAAACTGGATACTGTAAAAAAATTGTTCCCAGAAAAGGAATATTTCCAGCCTGGAAGAACCTTACTGATTTCTAGCTAAGATCAAGTGAGCATGAATTGTAAACTATATAACACGATCCATCATGCAGTTGTGCTTTTGTCCTATACCCAGAGAGGGTAAAGTGCTCCTCCTTGCCTTTCAGCGCTCCCCTGTCCAGAACAGTAACTCTGCCGCTAAACCAGGACAAGTACAGCAGCTCCAGGTCCACGGAGTCCAGCAAGTGCCTGTTGCACAAGAGGTGCTGTATTTTTGCTTGCATCAGACTTGTGGTCCTCCCCAATTTCAGTCATTGCTTTTTGGATGACAAGAATTCACGCCTAATAAGGTGTTACCCTGGATTCTTAAATTGTTGCCCGCTAACAATTTCTAAGCATCCTTGGAAATCTTCAGCCCACCATTCAGTTAGTATCTCAGTGCATGTAACTCAGAACTTAATAACATTTTCCTTTCACCAACTCCTAGATTTGTGTAAGTCCTAAAAACAAGCATGTAAGCATCTACTGTGGCCCATTCCTGTTTCATGTTCATTTCTCCCAATGGCAGATTGTATGTGTTTTATGTGTGTTTCACAGCTAATAAAAATGTTTTTGTGAAACATTTTGTTGTTTTGCTTGTTGAACCATAATATCCTATTACTCTGTATTTTTAAGAACCAAAGTTGTCTATATGAGGGGTGAGGGAATAGCTTTGTTGTTTAAAATTAATTGCATTCTATTGAATGCATAATGCATGCCCAAACAGAAGCAACACTTTTAAAGGCATTTTTTCCTGCAAATAATAATTTTGTAAGTTTTTCTTTTAAAAAATTGCAGATTGTTCTTCTTCATTATAATGTGTTTTTGTGTAAGTCTTCAAAAATAAAACCCTGGCAAATTCCATAGACCATTCTCCCACAGTATCACATACCAGAATACCAATTTTCTTCTGCTGCTTTGTGTAGTTAATCCAGACCAAAAAGAAATGGCACCTCTGATTTAGGAACTTATTCTAGTTTTCCATAGGGATCAAATCCTGAATTACTTTACAGTCAGATTATTTGGTATGTAATAAATAGTCATCTAATAATGTTTCAAAAATCCCTCTGCAAAGTCTGGGTGGCAAATACTAGTCAGAGGAACTTGCACAATTTTTTCATGATAAAAGACTTGATTTTCTCCCCTTTTACAAAAGTTAAAATATTTTCTACAGTTGGACCAAGCATTCTACAATGGGATATATCATTACTTTTCTCTTCAGGAGGCAGAGGTAGTAGATTCTGATATGCTCCTCAGGAGGGGAGATAATTCCAATCTTGGTTCTGACTCTACCTTGTTCTGGAGAGAATGCAGGTCTGTCAACTGCACTAGCCATCTATGCAACTAAAGTTCCATTAGTAGACAGACTTCCCTTGCTTCTTTCTATTTTAGTTCCTTGTCTTGTACTATATTTACCTAGAAATTAGAATGAGGAGACCAATAATCACTAAACTCATGGAATTTGCTGCCTGTGGGCATGTACAGAACTGCTTTGTTGGCTGGATCTGAGCAACAGGACTGGCTCTCATTGCCTCAACCTCTGAACTGCCGATCACAATTGCATGTTGTTTGTAGCCTCAGGAGGTCTTGTCAGGAGAATCAGATAGCCTGGGCATGCTAAAGGAAGGAAATGAATGACTATCCAATTGCTTTCTGTTCTTTACAGGATGCTTTAATGGCTCAACTGCCAAATAACACCTTATCTATGAAGGTTCCATACTTTTGAATACTGAAGTTTTTTTTATAATCATCAGGTGGTCACTAGTTAGGCTGTAGTCTTGCCATCTCTGGACTTTCTCCTCCTGGAGTTGAGATGAAAACCCTATATTGGGATTGGTCCAGAAAAGGGAAACAAAGCGGGAGGATCAAAGGCACTTTTTCCAAAAAAGCAAGTGGACTTTTTTGAAATTTTTTTACTTCTCATCCAAGAAGCTTCTTCAGTTCTGAATGAATGATAGGGAATGGAAGGATTTATGTTCTTTGCAGTCATCTTTAAAGAAGATAACCCCGCCAGTCAGTTATAACTGAAGAAGCTTCTTGGACGAGAAGCAAAATGTTTTCAAAGAAAAAAAGCAGGAAAGTTGCCTTTTGGAAAAAGCACTTTTGAGACAACCATGACCTGGAGGTTTGAGACAAAGATGGGGGTGACAAAGAGGGGTGATGTAGTCGTAGCAATTCTCCATCTCCCATCCTCCTTTTTTTCTTTATATTTCTATACCCCCACTGCAAGGGTAAAGCATAAATCCACAGATACGCTACCAAGTAAGAGAGAGAGCCACCAGATTTCCCGCCCATGGGACATACAAATCAGATACCACTCCCAACACAAGTCAGACAGGGAGGAGTTGGAGTTGTCCCTAGATCAGGAAGTCTACCAGTATTCAGGCTTCCCAGAAGCCAGAATTTCCAGAACTATTCAAAACTATTCAAAAAGTCTGCAATATCTGAAATAATCACATCACCCACTGGACCTATTCAAGTCCTCATTTTTCCCTTGCCATAAGACCTTTAACAAAATCCTCAAGGCGCAGTTGGATGAGAGGGGGAGACACTGGCTACACCTTCCGAATAAGCGTCCTTAAACCTACTCGAGATGCTTTTTACTTGATATTCCCATGACAGCTCTTGTCTCAAAAGCCAGAATAAGGAAAGGGAAAATACCCCCCAAACACTTGGAGAATAGAAGGATAGAGTTTCTGTGGTGCAGGTCACAAAAAACTTTAGCTTTAGCAACAAGGTCTTTGCCCCAATCATCTTCTCTAGAACCTCAATCTTAGCTCATCCCCCTTCCCCCTCCAAGAAAATAAGGAACTTAGAGGATGAACAAGCTGGCCATTCATGTTGGATGTTAACTCTATTCTTCATATATATGGCATCTCTTCAGCACCCCCAATAGCCCAAAGAACCCAGAAGGGATCCCAGTGAGAGTGTCACAAGTACAATTGTCACAAGTACTGACTCTCAGAAGCCCTATTTAATGGCAAGGGCATATGCCCCCTCACCAAGTCTAGTTCCCTACAGATGTCAATCCAGTTCACTACAAACCTTAGCCTAATAGTCCAGGGATAGATGGAAGAGGAAGCCCAAAGCAACATAAATTTCCTGGAGGCTATGCACAACACACCTTGCTCTGAGCATGCTCCAGGCTTTCTTAAAAAGCCAGGAAGCTCTTAGCAGATATCATGGGACTAAAGTCAACATCAGGAGAAAGGGAGTTAGAAATAAAGGGAGAAGAGGTAGCCAAACTCATATACTAGGTCAAGAAAAATGTAGCATATCTCATGGCAAAATACCTCCAGGGAATCCACAACACAACAGCAAACTTGCTCAGCCATGAAGACTTGAACCTTACCAAATTATGATCTCAATACCAAGATATTTGAACAAATAGTTTCAATCTTTTTTGGGGGTGGTGGTGGTGGAGAGCAATGGATGTCCTAGTAAATCTAGTGATTCAAAAGATAGAGCCGTTTATCTCATACTCTCCAAACTAGGGAGCAAGGGTAACAAATCTCTTTATCACCTCTTAGTCCAAAGATTTACTGTATGTCTTCCACCAATTTCTGCTAATGCCTGGGCTCCTGAAACTGATGTGAAGCTTCTAATTGCCTAGCCTGTCTTACTATTCAAATCTAGTCAACCTCTCAACATCTCAGTCATGGATCTGTTGGCCTCACCCAACCTACTAACCTAGATTCTCAGTCATCTCGGTAGGTCATAGTTGTCTCAAAAGTGCTTTTTCAAAAGGCAACTGGACTGTTTTTTGAGGAAGAAGAAGAAAATGTTTTGCTTCCAGTCACAATTGATGAAGCGTCTTGAATGAGAAGTGAAACGTCGTCTTCTTTTTTAAAAAACAATACAGGTGCTTTTTGAAAAAGCACATTTGAGACAGATCCCAGCTGCTTACAACTATAGATCTGGAGACTGAACAGGGTTAACTTGCCATCCTAGGATTTAATAACATAACCATTAAAGGTAATCCTTGATTTATAGCTACAATGGGAACCAGAATGCCTGTTACTAAATGATGTGGCTGTTAAGTGAGCCACACCTGATTTTATTATCTTTATTGCTATATTTAACACTTCTTGTTAAGTGAATCACTGTGGCTGTTAAGTGAACTGTGCAGTCATTAAGTGAATCCAGCTTCTTTGTTGACTTTGCTAATTGGAAGCCCCCTGGAAAGTCACAAGTGGCCCTGGGATGCTGCAACCATTGTAAATATATGTGGATGGTGAAGCATCCAAATGTTGATCATGGATGTTGCGATGGTCATAAGTAAAAAGACTGATTGTAACTTACTTTTTTCAGTGTCATCATAACTCCAAATGGTTGCTAAATGAATGGTTGTAAGTTAAGGACTAGACTACCTATAATTCCAAAGAGGTTGCACACTCTTATATATGTACTCATATGTCAGGTTTTCTGAAGACAGCCTGAGGAAGGGAATCTCATCAACATCAGCCTCTACCACTCAAGTCCTCATCTTTTTACTAAAAGATTTCAGAGATGGACTATAATCAAGCTATCTCCACAGACTGGTGTCATAGTAGTAACTGAGAATGGGATCTTGGAGTCCCAGTGGACAATCACTTAAATATGAGCCAACACAGTTCTAGGCTGCATTAACAGAGGGATAGAATCAAGATCATGTGAAGTGTTAGTACCCCTTTATAATGCCTTGGTAAGACCACACTTGGAATACTGCATCCAGTTTTGGTCGCCAGGGTGTAAAAAAGATGCTGAGACGCTAGAAAGAGTGCAGAGAAGAGCAACAAAGATGATTAGGGATCTGGAGGCTAAAACAAATGAAGAGCAGTTGCTGGAATTGGGTATGTCTAATTTAATGAAAAGAAGGACTAGGAGTGACATGATATCTCAGGGGCTGCCCCAAAGAAGAGGGAGTCAAGCTATTCTCCAAAACACCTGAAGGCAGGACAAGAACCAATGGATGGAAACTAATCAAGGAGAGAAGCAACTTAGAACTAAGGAGAAATTTCCAGACAGAACAACTTGCCTCCAGAAGTTGTAAATGCTCCAACACTGGAAGTTTTTAAGAAAAGATTGGACAATAATTTGTCTGAAATGGTATCGGGTTTCCTGCCCAAGCAAGGGGTTGGACTAGAATAACTCAATTATTCTGTTATTCAAACCAAGGCACACTCCTCAGTCCTGACACCAATGATGAAGATGGCCATCTTCATATCAAGAAATTCCAAAGGAAAGACTCATTGATAATACTATTTATGATCTGCCACAATCTGTCATGGAACATCCAGCTAGTTTTTCCAGCCCTAATATGAACACTATTCAAGCCCATGCACAATGTAGCCATTAAACACTTAACATGGGGAGGGCATTCATAATTGCCCTAAAAATAGGTTCGTTGTTGGTCAAGAAAGAGTGCTGTATCATCCATTCCTTCATTCTGAAGGTCAGTTTTGTCTTCCACTTGGACTTCCTTCTGCCCTAGCTACAAAACCCCAGTAGAGGAACATTGGCACAAACTGCACACTTTCAACAGACATCTGTAGAATTGCTACATGATCTTCTGTGATTTAATTCTCCTATGCAGAAAACTGTTCTGAGCAAAAATTAGAGACCTTCCAGATGTAAATCCATCTTCAGGATGTTTATTCCCACTGTTTATTCCCACTGTTTATTCCCACCTGGTTTTACTATAGGAAAATGGTTCATTTTGAGTTTTCATGAAGGTCCTTCTTCTACTCTGAAAGCAGGATATTGAACCCACCCAGACCAATGTCTGGGGAACTTGCAAACAAATTACCAGGGCCCCAATACATCTGAGCAATTTCTCAGCGATATCTTTATCTTACTCTTCCTTTTTAAAAATGTGCTTCTTTGGAGTTTTCTTCTGGATTGTTACTCTACTACTGGGGGTGGAATTAGTTTCTTCAAAAGGAAGCACATTAGAATCTAACTCTGCTTCCTGAACAAGTGAGAGGGACTGTTGTAGAATGCCCTATCACTAGTTTAGAAAAAGGACTTTCATGGAAAATCTAATGAATCCTTCTAGGTCTTAGTAGCTGCCTGTATGTGTGTATGTGCATGTATATGTGCACACATACTAGAGTCAGTTTTTGATTGCCAGTGACTGGGCTAGTCCCTGCAGTTTTCTTGGCAAAGTTTTTGAGCATTTATTTGCCCTTTCCTCCTTCCTAGGGTTGAGAGAACGGGGCTGACCCAAGTTTATGCAACTGACTTCATGTCTAAGCAGAAGTAGAACTAATGGTCTCACAGTTTCTAGCCAGATGCCTGGCTAGACCAAACTAGATCCCAAAGTACACTAATGGACTCTGGTGTATTTCATTCCACAGAGATCTGTTGTGCAGACAACTCCCACAACTCCCAAAGCAGGTACAGTGCAACAACTGGCAGTGCAAGGGCTCCAACAGGTTCATGTTACCCAAGAGGTAAGTGTCTTGTCTTCTGCTCTTGGGTTGGCCTGCATTTCCGTTTCCTGTATCCTGTAGCCACGCAGGCTTTCTGCCTTCTGAGCTAGGTAACTAATGTCAGAAATGTTAATGCCCTGCCTTTAATCCTCCTGCAAAAATGCTCCCATTTATTTCATTCAAGTGATCCTAATATTCCCGATCCAGGATCAGTCTACCTTGTCCTCCACCTTTCTCTTGTGGCTGTGGTTTGTAGCCATCCAGAGATTCCTGCCACTGACCTCTGTACTTGCCCAAATAGCGAAGTGGATAAAGACCCTGAGCTGTGACAGTTTCTTGGTCTGAAGGTCCCTTTTGCTTTATAGACTATAGAATAGCCAGAGTACTGGGACCTTCTGTCCTCAGTCTCAACCTTTACGTTCTTGTTTCTTTTTCCTTTAGCTCTGATTGCTTTAGTCTTTCTGTTTATTGTCTAGAATGCAGACAGTGGTCCTTCTAAGAGCAGTCAGCAGGAGCAGCAGCAGGAGCAACAAGGAATACAGCAAAGCCTCTCCCTAGAATGCAGCAGCAGCAGCAGCAGCAGCAGTGCACCCCAGCTGACCAGCTGCTGTTTACCTGGCCCGGAGCACAGGCTCCACTACATGCACTCACTAGATTCTGCCTCGGAGCAGTGGGTGGAGCTGGTCCGCATGCTTCCTCAGCCACTCCTCCTACCACAGCAGAAGGTGGTGATAGAGCAGCTACCATTCCTCTCCTCTCATCACTCCAGCCCTGACCAGAGAGTCAAGATTCAGAGAGTCCCTCAGGTGCTAGTGTTTGGAACAGCAGCTACAGCACTTAAAGTAGGTCCGGCAAAGGGCAAGAACCGAGATCCAAGAATAGCAAGCCCTGTGCACACCACTTCTTAAGCAACAGAAAACAGAGCAAGCTAGCATCATTCCCTTCTCTGTGCTTCCAAAGGACGCTCATCTTAATCATTGGTGGTGGTCAAACAGCAATTTTTCCCTTCCCCCATACCCTGCCAGAGGAGTTGAAATTCTTGGACCTCTTTAGGCTTAGAGTTGATTTTGCTTTACATAGATAAGGGGTAAATATAGGAATCTTAAGGCATCTGTGAGAGAGAATTGTTAGAAATGTGATGGCCTAGGACAGGGGTGTCAAACTGGATTTCTTCACGGACAGGATCAGCATTGTACTTCTCCTCTGCGGGCCGGTGGAGGGGGGGAGACAGGACAGATGTCTCCTGCAGCACGTGTTCCCCCCCCCGCCCCCACACACCATTTTGGCTGGAAGAGTGCTGCAGGAGGCCGTCAAGACCGAAAATGGAGCACAGGGGTGCTGCGTGCTTCCCCCATGCCCCGTTTTGGCTGCCAGAGGCACCACGGGCTGGTCCTTTGCTATTTCCAGGTCGGCTCCACAGGCCAGATTTAAGCACCCCGTGGGCCAGATGCGGCCCGCAGGCCTTGAGTTTGACACCCCTAGCCTAGGGAAAAGGGAGAAGGCCCTAGGGGTTTTCTTAATTTATCCATTTCCGACTTTCACATCTTTATAAGCCACTGGCACAGTGGTTAGAATGTAGTATTTCAGGCTGAATCTGCCCACTGCCGGCAGTTTGATTCTCACCGGCTCAAAGTTGACTCAGCCTTCAATCCTTCCAAGGTGGATAAAATAAGGACCCAGATTGTTGGAGGCAATATGCTGACTCTAAACCACTTAAAACAGTGCTGTCAAGCACTATGAAGCGGTATATAAGTTTAAGTGCAGATTTCATTTTGGTAGACATGGAACTTAAAATGTAGGTTTTAATAGCTAGTCAGGATTTCAGCCTGGGTTTGTGAACAAGGTTCCGTCTAAGGAAGCAAAATACTGAAATACTAATCATAAAAAAGATTTTCTTATAATTAAAAAAAAACACTGAACAACTTTGTAAAGGGTCATTTTGCACATGATGGAGGTGTAAACCTAGTACAATCAACTGCAGTCAACTACAGTTCTGAATAATGGTATGGTGTATTGTTATTGTAGTTGCAATACTATATACTTCCAAGAGGACTTGCATTTTTTACTATACAGTAGCTCTGTGCTTTGACGTATGGGAAAATTTGCTTTGCCTTGCATTCCTTTCTTAATGATTGTAATGCTGAACTTATTTTGTCTAATCAGAGGACGTACAGTGTCTTTCACTTACACAAAGAATTCTTATTCCATAGAAATTCTGGGGTGAGGATTAGCCTTTGATCAGAGAATCCATGATAACTGAATGTCAGATGCAGGATAAAAGCAATGCACATGTGTGGAAGAAAAATAAATAGTGGCCCAGTCGTGCTTTAGATAAGTCTATTGTGGGATGCGGGGGTGGGGAGGGAAAGGGACAGCAAACACGGCCTTACTTCTTAATCTCAGTTTGCTTTTCCTTCCCTTCCTGCTGCTTATGTGCTCAGGTCCAGCAGCTTCAGCAGGTTCCTGTGCAGCATGTCTATCCTAATCAGGTTCAGTATGTGGAAGGAGGAGATGCTAGCTACACAGCAAGTACCATGTGAGTATAAAGAAGTCGGACTTATCCTGCCTCTGCAATCCTGTTAGCCTGAGCCGAATGATTTCATTGGCCAGATTCAGGGTGCCAAAGCCACTGCTCCCAAAAATGGCACGCACTAGTTTTTCACACACATGGCAAAATGTTTCCATGTTGGGTCTAAACCAACAAATTCCGTATTATTTCTAAACAAGCTGGAACTGAAAATATTTTAAGGAAGAATCTTATGCTACCTTCAACATCAGTTGATTTATTGTGCCCCAGTTGTATCTGATAGGTCGGGGTAGGCTGGGATAGGAGTGCTCTTAATGTGCCAGAGAAAACCTGGCAGGAACAGGATAGGATGCCTGGTATGCAATGATTGGTATTTTTACAGAAACTTTTAAAAGAATAAATCTACTGCCAGCGATGTCCTCCTCTGCGTCTGTCATACAATTCTGGATATATGTAGTTGAAGTTTTCTCCTCTAGGTTGCTGTTTTTCCCCTAATGTGTGTATGTTTTTATTTGACTGTGTTTCTTCCATTTCAGACGCTCCAACACTTACCCTTATACAGAAACACCTCTCTATACTCAAAACACTGGAGCAAATTACTATGAATCCCAAAACACCCCGACGCAGGTCTCCAGTCCAGCAACCTCACAAACAGTGGCCAGCAGTGGCTCTGTACCTATGTATGTTTCTGGAGGACAAATCATAGCCAATCCGAATGGAAGCAGCAGTACAGCAGCAGGAGGAGGAGGAGGGGGAGGAGGAGGAGCACCAGCAGCAGCAGGAAATGGTGCTGGTGGTGGTAGCACTGCTGGTGGAGGTAGCGGTGGTGGTGGAGGAGGAGGAGGAGGAGGAGCAGCTGGTGGCAGCAGCAGCACAGGGACCTATGTGATTCAAGGAGGTTACATGCTGGGAAGTTCAAGCCAGTCCTATTCACACACCACCCGTGCCTCTCCTGCAACAGTAAGTTTTCCACTGAAATATTAGCATATTGATTCAAAGGAACTGGAAGTTTCTTTTCTTCTTTCTACTCTTATTAACGCGGTGATTTTCTATGCCTATCTTTTGGAAAAGCCATGTTTTTTGGGCAGACTGCTGTAAAAGACAGCTTAGTGTACTCCCATCACTAGTCTCCCTGAAAAAGATGCAACTGTAAGGGTGTTGGGCTATTGTTAGGTTACACCCTCAACTCTCAAAAAAAGAGTAAGCTATCCAGAGTCATTTAGGCGAGATGAGTGGCCATACAAATTGAATAAATAAATGAACAAAGTTATGGATTATGCTAACTGGATATATATTTTGAATATACTCCAAAAGTTTGCCTACAATCTCTCACCAATGAGATTTTAATAGTGTATTTTTTTTAATTCCTCAAAATCAAGAGAATTTTTAATTCCTTAAAGTTAATTTCCCCACAAAACCCCAATAAATGCCATAAAACCACAGTTTTTCTAGCTGATTTAAACACTCTGGCAATTTCTCATAAGATTGCTTCTGTTAAAGGAGATTCTGTTTTTCGATGTTATTCTCCGTGAATTTCTTTGAATTTTATTTTTGGAGGTAATGGAAGGTGCTGCTGCTGTTGGTAGGTTTTTCTGTTGCACAGTTCTGTGGTCGTCTTGGGAGTTTACGTATGGTGTCTCCCGTTGGGAGATTTTATTTTACAAAAACCAAAGTTATAACAGCCAAAGATTCTGAATCTGTTTTTAATCTCCCAATGGATTCTTGGGGGAAGCAAGACAATGCAAGAAGAATAAGGGTAAAATTTTTGTGCCTGCTGATTATAGCTCAGATTTCATGCATTTTTCTTTTAGGCCACAAAGGGGATATGATGACTTAATTGTTAGAATTATTTTTTTACCTAATTTTCATTACATAAGAATTGAAAACTATCCCAAAGGTACTTTTTTTCCTTTTTCCTTTTCAAAAGATAAGTGGGCTTTCTTGGTTTGTGTCTGGCTACAGAACTTTTTCCCATTCGATTAACAAGAATGAACTTCTGAACACCAAACGTATCAAAAGGAATCCTTTATTGAGATGAGACAATTCATGTAGGGCTTAAAAGCAGCATCTAAGGTCTCTCAGGCATGCAGGGATAGATAAGGGAGTTTAAGACCCCTCCCCTTCTCTTGATGTGTATTTAGTAAAATAAAGAGCCAACATGCTAATTCCCCCCACCCCGTTTTTAAAATGATCTTTTTCAGAAGTTCCCAGGGCATACCTAATTCCCTCAACCCCCTTTTTAGAACAATATTTTCCAGAATTTCCCAAGACACATCTCACTGTGGAATTTTTATGGTCTCTTCATCTCCTGGCTGTCTCTCTCAGAGGTGATAGGTTCCGGCCATCTGGGTTTCATCTCTCCATTGTATCATATGTAGGTTATACAAATTCGATATAAGATTAAATATATTCAGGTTACATCAAGAAGGATTTCTTTATCAGTCTCCCCCCCCCCCCTTTTCTTCTTCCATTGAAGAAATGACAGATACATGGATCTGACAGTTTGTTTGTTTTTAAAACATTTCACTTCTCATCCAAGAAGCTTCTTCAATTCTAACTAACTGCCGGGGAAAGGATTCATATAGCTCGCTATTGATGATGACTGGATGACTTTAAAGAATATAAATATAATACATTCCATTCTTCACCAGTTAGAACTGAAGACATTTCATGGATGAGAAGCAAAACACTTTCAAAGGGGAAAAAAATCAAGAAAGTCCAGTTGCCTTTTGGGGAAAAAAAGCACCTTTGGGACAACAATGACCTAGATCAGGGGTCGCCAACCGTTTGGACCTCAGGGACCACCAAACTCATACTTTTAAAGCCCAGGGACCAAACCGGTTCTGTGGGCGTGGTCTAATTTGTGGGTGTGGCTTGATGGTCATGTGACTGGCTAGGCATGGCTTGTATGTAAATATTATAAATACTTATATAAATATTGATTTTTTTTTATTAAAAAAGAGCAACTTGTACCCAAAATCAGGCAAAGCAGGCAGGCAGATTGAGTTGCTCACAGAATCATTCAGTGATCTATCTATCTGCCATTGGCTAGCTCAGTCTGTCACATAAAATTTGCTTACCGTGAGTCTTCACTGAATAATAGAACCTTCAGTCCTAAGGGAGGTTCAGCTGTGCTTAAAAGCAGAGCCGAAGATCTAAAGACTAGCTAGAAGGCAAGAAATCCAACCATTTCCTGCTTCCTAGCTAATCTAAATCTCCCAAAGCTGATGGTCGGAAAAAGGAAAAATAGCAATTTAGCAGGCAAGTTTGCTGGGTAAGGAGTGGGTGGGCGGGGAGGGTTCCCGTGGGCCATGTGGGCAGCACAGCCTTGTGTTTCTGACTGGATTAATTGCTTTGGGGGGGGGGTGCTCTGGGGGTGAGATTTCTCTGCAGCCCACCAAAATTTTCTCATGGCCCACCAGTGGGCCGTGGCCCACTGGTTAGGAATCACTGACCTAGATGATTGAGAATCTCCATAAAATTGAAAAGTATATAAAATGCTTACTCTCTTCTCTGTCTGCCTCTCTTTAGAACCATTATAATTCATAAATCATATTGATTTCCCAAATGACATCGATTAAATGTGCATAGAAAGAAAATATCAAACCTATCAACATCCATAGAAAGACAAATATACTAAAACATACTCAAAAAGAGCAAGGAACAGTTAAGAGTAGTAGAGGCAGGCAAAATGGAAAGTTATTTTGATGGAAATAAAGTTTGCTTTGGAAGTGAGTGGGTAGAAAATCAAAATAAAATAATAAATTTTTGCCTGAAACTGAAAGAATATTGAGAAAGTTATTTGGGATTAGTCAGAATTGGCAAAGGTGGTGGGGTTCAGGGTGTAGGAGTGCAGGGAAGCCAAAAGGGCAGAAATAAGGGGTGGGGGGGTGGGATGGGTAGCAGTGGGAGTTGAAGCAAGACATGTTAAAGGCTTGGGAGGCAACTTGAAGGACCTGTCAATTGCACTCCTGTTGCTTTGTAGGTCCAGTGGCTGCTGGATAACTATGAGACCGCTGAGGGTGTGAGCCTTCCTCGCAGTACCTTGTACTGCCATTACCTCCTGCATTGTCAAGAGCAAAAACTGGAGCCAGTCAACGCAGCATCTTTTGGAAAGCTGATCCGCTCAGTATTTATGGGACTCCGAACTCGCCGGCTTGGAACCAGGTAAAAAGATGGAAGGCATGACTTCCCCATATAAGAAAAAAAAAAAATGACGCATTAAATTTGTGTTTCTGTTTTTATACTGGCAACTATTAAGAGGACACATATTGAAACAAGTATTTGTTTTGGGAGGAACTGGGTTAGCTATAAAACATGGATTTTATGTAATGTTGGGGAATAATACCAGGTCGCTTCCCAAAACATGATTAATCAGATAAACCTAGCAGCTGCCTTACACAGTACAACCTAATTGGTTTAATTTTGAATTCTTTATTACTGTATGCCTTAGCTTTGCATGTGACCCACTATTATTTAATCAGTTTATAGTATTTGATGCTAGGTCAGAAATAGTTTAAATCAGTAGCTAGTTCTGTTCTGTGAACAGAATTGGTGTTTCCTCAAGCCTCCAAGGCTGAAGAGATGCAGATTCAAATCTCATTCCAGTCATGAACTCACTAGGCAGCATGGCATGAATAATAACAGCACCTTTTTGGAATGTTTACAATACTTCATAAACTTTTATTGAATCAGTGGTCCCCAATTTTGAGCACTCTTGGAATTTTGTGAAAAAGTTAATGGTACTATCAGAGAATGGCTACCTTACAGTATATATATTTCCATAATGATCACATGATACTACTTTTACAGAAGGGCAAGCTGGTAAGGCCAGAAAAAAATTACTTGTCCAAGATCTTGAATCCAGGATAGATGATTAATTTGAACCTCACCCCTTGCCAGCTCTTTAGGATACTAGTTTTTATTCTGTATTTTTTTCTTGGGGATCATCCTAGTCTTTCACTCCAGATTTTCTCTCTTCCTAATCTAAAAACACTGTAAATGTGAGAGGTTTTTTTTCTTCTTCTTATCTATGTAAGCTACCTTGCAAGCTTCCCCTATTCATAATACTGTTCCAACTTGCTGCTTCCTTCCCAAACTGGCTAGAATGTGTTCATTCTATCAAGTTTATTTGGCAGGACAGACATTTCCCCAAAGTGCAGGTTTGTTATGATCTAAGCAATTTATAAACAGGCTTCTATTGTCATTTTTCTTTCAGAGGGAATTCTAAATACCACTATTATGGGTTGCGCATCAAAGCCAATTCTCCATTGCTGCGGCTCATGGAGGACCAGCAACATCTGGCCATGAGGCAACAGCCTTTTTCTCAGAAGCAACGGTAGGAGATTGTGCAGGAAAAGTGCAGAGTTCAGTGACAGAGGACATTTGTGAAGATACTTGTCTAAACTTGCCCACAGCCCTAGAAATGTAATATAGGGCCAATTGGATTGGTGGTATAAAATGATTCTCCAGATTTCTGTTGGAACTTTTAAGTTTTTCTGCTGTCTGATTTTATGGTAACCTCCATGATTTGTCATTGAAAGTTCCTGATTAGTACTTTTTCCTACCTTTTTATTTAAATTTTGTGCAATCTCAGAAGAACTTCCTTTCTACCTACGTCCAGTTTTGGATACAGTTTTGGTAGGGCACCACTGCATACCCATCCTGATTATCATGCGTGCTCCAATCCTTTCCTCACTATTACTCTGCTCCGAAATGTCTTGACTCTGAGTTACTTTGTCTTTTAGGCTCAAATCCATTCAGAAAATGGAGGGCATGACCAATGGAGTAGCTGTAGGGCAGCAACAGGCCTCGGGGCTATCTGATATCAGTGCCCAAGTGCAACAATACCAGCAGTTCTTAGGTAAGAATGAGACTTGGGACATTGAGATCTTTGATTAGGAGGCAGAAGAGAATATGCACCATCCTTTATATGGCTGTCTTTGCAGTATTTCTGTGGTGGTAAAACAGTAGGCGTTAGGGCTCCAGCTTTCCACTTATTTCAAGAAAGTAAAATCCTAGTGGAAATGAAACCCAAAATTTCACTTGCAGTTTCACTTGCAAATGATAGAAAAGTGTGGCTGTTGGTTAGACTTTAGTTAACCTTATTGGACTGGCTTTTCCTCCCTCTTTGCAGATGCTTCTCGCAGCTTGCCTGACTTCACAGAGTTGGACTTACAAGGGAAGAATCTCCCTGAGGGTGTTGGGGCTGAAGATGTGAAGGCTTTCCAGTTGCTGTATCGAGAACATTGTGAGGTATGTCAGGGATCACACTGGAAAGCAAAATGAGGCACTAAAGCACAATATTTTAACTGATCCTTTTTTACAATCAATTTTGGAAGTGATTTGGCTTAAATCTGTTGAATGAACTTGGTTGTGGGGTTCACGGGTTTAACTTTAGCTTTTCCATTGCAAGAAGTAACGTATGCAGTGTATGTATACAATTACTATTTCTCTGCAGGCTATTGTCGATGTGATGGTAAACCTGCAGTTCACACTGGTAGAGACACTCTGGAAGACTTTTTGGAGGTATAATTTGAACCAGCCCAGTGAAACCACCCCTATTGTTATGTGAGTATTACTGCAAAGTTGGTCATTTCTTCCCCGTGAGTGTAATGTGGCCTACTCAATTTACAGTCCTCTTTTTCCAGAAATGTTAACTGCAACCTTTAACCAACAAAAGGTACCTAAAGATATTAGTGGATTCCATTATGAATAGATTGTTGTCAGGGCAAATAAAACATTAACTTTGAAAGGAAAGTTGACTAGGAAACAATTTTTCCTACTCATTGATTATTCCTTGAATAGTGAAGTCCTTAGTGAAGAATTAAAGGGAGACATGCTGGCTTCTGAGAAAATGAGCTGTAATTTTGTGGTGATTTTTTTTAAAAAAATTGGCATATGTATGTTTGATGTTTTAGCCATGATGAAGCAGAAAAGCGTCTCCCAAAGAGCTGCTTGGTGATTCTGTCTAAGTATGAGCCTGTTCTCAAATGGACTAAAGACTGTGACAACTTGCTATACCAGGGTCTGGTAGAGGTCCTCATCCCAGAAGTGCTTCGGCCCATTCCGAGTAAGCTTATTGTGCACAGCTCGTGTTTTCAGCCAATAATGGATTATGATAAATTTAGAGCAACCAGTGGTGGGTGGAGAAATTTCTGCTCTTGGAAAGGCTGTTCCTGAAACTTCTGCTTTCTCTTACCGTGGGCTTAATAACATTCTGTGTTAAGCGTTCTGTGACTGGTGGGGTAACAGTCTTGTTTAGTAGAAAGGGATGCAGTTAGATCAACTGTTGATCCATAACTACGACTTTGAAAGTGCCTATTTTAGAGCAAAAATATTGTTGTGGTTCCAATTCTGCTCCAGGTGCCTTGACACAAGCAATCCGAAACTTTGCAAAAAGTTTGGAGAGCTGGTTGACAAATGCTATGATGAATATTCCAGAAGAGATGGTCCGAGTGAAGGTGAGCGAAAGAGCACAAAGTTGTTGTTGTTGTTGTTGTTGTTCTTCTTCTTCTTCTTCTTCTTCTTCTTCTTCTTCTTCTTCTTCTTCTTCTTCTTC